AGAAAATTGGAAGCATTAATATACTTTTGTAACTTTTGACCTGTTTATTTCCCATCTATTTTTTTTCTTTATTTATTTTATATCTCTTTCGTTTGTTATAATAATAATATACGACCAGAATTAATGTGTTTTTTCTTTGTAAATTAATTAGAATTATAATATGTATCGTTTTAAAAATCAGTATACAGTATTCAATGTAAAATTTACCAAGTCCTTCCTAGTTGAAGAAACCAAAATCAAGTCCACACATATTGAATTGGCAAGAGGGCATAAATTATTGTTTTGGATTGGACCTCACCCACCCATACATCCACCATGTTATTGCGTGCATAAGCACAATGGTTGGCCACAACAACCACAACATTCTAACCATTAAAAAGGTGATATTTTGCTCATACAAAATCATTATTAGTTTTTTTTTTTCTAAATATACAAAGAATGCGTTTGTTCAAGATATTGGGCAATGGGGCTAGGGAAAAAAGCATTCTTTTTTATGATAAAGATGTAAAAGTATTCATGTATGAGAGCAAATAATCATTCAAGTATTCCACATTGAATCTATTGGGAGGGAAAACAATTGTCATTTTAATCCTACCAACATTCATATGAGTCAAAGTCCAATATGCCAAATAAAATTCTCCATGTTCTGTCCTAGATGAAAAAAAAAACAGGGTTTTAAAAAGACAATTTAGTTCATTCACTCTCCAGATCAATAAAAATCAAAAGTCAAAATCCTTTTTCATCTTAGTTTTTTACAGTTTGAATGTTGCTCCAAAACTTATACTTAGAGAGTTAAAAACTATCTACCACATTTTGATACATGGAATGAGAAAGTCAAAAGTCACAATCATAATGGTATTGAACAAGAAACAATACCTTTCATCATCAAACAACATAGCATTGTCATAAAACTTTTTGCCAATGGCCTACAACACCAATTCTAGAAATAAATTTCCATTAAAAAAAAGGTGTATAACTTCTATATTGACAGCATTAGCAATTCCAAGTAAACTATGATTCTTGGCACCATGCTTTTCATCATCCAAGTTGAGCAATAATTAAACCACTTTCACTTTGTTGGTAACCAAAAATGTAAAAAGCAACAACTATTTTTTGTCTTAATTTCTAATTTGGTTCCTTAAGTTTGAAAATTTTCAGGAAAATTTAAACCTTGTAAAAACAAATGGCTTCGTGAGAAAATTAATAATTACAATAGAGTTGATTGTAATTATTTACATTAGTTGGTTAAGAAAACCTATCCCTTTGCCATGATGTGTGGTGCTTTTTTGTCATTTGGGATCATTTAGGACCTCCAAACATGTTTTTCTGTTTTTTTTTTTTTAAATTTTCGACAACTTATTTTTTTAGATTCGATTTAAATAATTGATTGAAGATATTATTTTAATCGATTATGATCTTCTACGCACCATTATGTATACAACAACAAATGATCATTTACATGATGTATATGTAACATACTACAAAAATAATAATAATAACATACTATATGCTAAATTACAAATACTATTGCATTGATTGATAAACTTTAAAAAAATGTGAATATGTTGGTTTTTCATGATTTAAAAAAAAAAAGTTAAAATGGGTTCTTTTTAAGAATAAAGCCCAATGAACGTAAACACTGAAAGCCCATTTGTTAATACTATTGAATGCTTTTAGTTGTGACCGGTGTAAAAATTATTACACCTCTAAGTTAAAATGCGCTTCCAAAGATTTCGTAGTGTTAAAACTTAAAAGTGACACCCATTCACACTCGGTAAAAATGTAAAATTAAAATATCACATAATATATTTTCAAAAATCAAGACATGTTGACATTAATATTAAATGGATACAATAACAACATATTCAATATAACTGCAATGAATGTAAACCAAAAAGTAGGTGAGTTTGTTGATTTGAAGACTATGAGAAAAGTGAAAATAAGTCTATAAATATAGTTTTTTAATATAAACTTGTTATATAAATAAAAATAATTGATACTATAAGAATTTGATAATTGTAAAAAAAACGATAGTACAATAGACAATCTTACATAATTACATGAATCGTAAGTGTATCATAACATTATTAAAAGAAAAATTATTCATTTATCATTTATCATGTATGCTAAAAAAATTGTCATTGATGTCACTGTTATTGTTTTGTTATTGTTCTGCCGCAAATACTAATATGTAAATGTTCTGTCACAAATAATGATATAACTAAAAAAATCCCCCCTCCTCTCCCCTTCTACTAGACGACATATGCATTGTACGGTTGCGTTCACAACACATTCTCATGGTGACTCTAAAAAAAATATTATATAATAATATAAGTATAATTGATTATTCACTTAATTGTAATTTAAGTTATGGCTGACAAATATGTACCACAGAGAACCAACCAACATGTTACCAACTGAACCAATTATATCGGTAGCTAAGTTGTTTGGTAGCCAATATGTTTGGCTAGTAATATCATGATAATTAAGTAGTCTTGGTACGATAACGGTATGATATTTTAAATATCATGATTGTACCGTACCAACCTATATATATATATATATATATATATATATATATATATATATATATATATATATATATATATATATATATATCATTTCATAAATACAAAGAAATATGAGTTCTCATATCTTCATGTTTTAATTAGAATAAGAAGTAACAAGTCTTAGAATTGCTAAACTAACACATTGACTGACAAATTTCTTGATAATTATTTTTTGATGTGCACGAGATTGGTGATACATACACTAAACTTAAAAATGAATACTAACTTCTCATTCCTTCTACTATTTCCATTTGTTTCCTCTAGCAACTTGCTAGGGGTGAACATTTTTTTAATCCTTTTAGTGGTTTCCAAAAAAATATTACCAGAAGCGAGTGAAGCAACAACCAAATATCCACAAATTCAACTTATATTCATGTATAGTACATATTAGTTAAAAAGTTTTGGTATATACCAAATACCAATATGTACCAACCAAATTTGTTAGTAGCCAAATTAATTGGTACCAAGTATACTTGGTACGGTACTTGTAGCTAAAATCTTATACCAACTATAGTTGCTACGGTACACGGTTTGAAGAAAAAAAACTCAGTACCGTACCAATTTCACCCCTAATTTAAATCAAGGTTACATTTACTTGTTGGGCTGATGAGCACGTCTACTAGTTAAGTTGAACTGGAATTGAGGAATAGGAGAATGCAAGATTATAGGAGTTTGAATATTTTTTCCGAAGGTTGAAATTTTCAAAATTTGCTACTATTTTTTTATTATTTCTCTACTTTCTATTTTGTAAGGATATAAAAAGCTCCTTTAGATTATTGTGGGGCATGTTTGGCACGGAGCTTTTGTAAGCGTTTAGATGTATACGCATATATCCTCGTTTTGTGTATGAGATATCTAAATTCAAATTAGGGGTATGCAATAAATCGTACAAACCGTCCGTACCACACCACACCGCATCGTATAATGTGGTTTTCAATGTTCGCGGTCCGCTTTGCGGTTTACAGTTGTGAAACCGCAGTTCAAACTGCACTGCACCATATTATTAACATATATACATCATTTATTTACATTAAGGACATGAAAAATAAATCTTCTCAAAAATACAATTAAATTCAAAGCCCTACTGAGCCCTACTAAACATAAGTCTTCTTGAAATACAATTAAATTCAAAGCCCTCTTCATTTGTGTAAAATTTTAAAGTAAGAATTCTTATTCACTTGTTAAGTTATCAACATTAATAATATAAAGATTTCTTTGGTATGGGCACAATATTGCCCAAAGGATATCAAAATGATATTTTTTAGTATGTTTTGTGTGCTTACCAATATCTTATTGATAATTTGCATGGTCCCTTGTTTAAGTGTTGAAAATTAAAATACTCAAGATAAATAAAGTGAAAAAATGGTCGCAAACCGACAATTTCACAATAAAAAATTTGTTGGTACATCTTTTAGGTTTGCATACACGACATTTAATCATATACTTAAGAAATTTGACATGAATTCCCTTTTAGTATTTGTATATTTTCTATGGTAAGTTCGGTAATTTCCAAGAATATTTTTAATTGCCTTTACTAAAATACATTTTATTCAAGATTTTTAGGGGGTGTTTGGTAAAAAAAAAACTTATTGCTTATTAGCTTATAACTTATTAGTTTATTAGCTTATAAGTTAATAAGTAAGTGTATGATAACTTATCAAAAAATGATCTATTAAAGGTTTTCCACTGAAATAAGTTATTTTCATCCAAACACGTTTTTAACTTATAGTAGTGTGGAACCTAATAAGCTGTTTTTAAAAGCTTAGTCAAACACCTCTTAAGTTTATGATATTCGGTTACTCAAGTTTCTCATCTAGATTAAATGGAGTAATCGACGAAACATGTGAATTACATAGATTCTATCTGATGGAAACAAAACATCTTTTTAGGGCCGGTCCTGAAAAGTTAAATATTCTCAAAGGTCCAGGACGAACAAGAAAAAAAGACCCTTATCTTTATTAAAAAAAAATATTTTTAAATAAAAATATATAATTAAAAAAATTGGGCTCTGTGCAGTTACCCACTTCTCTCTCTCTCTCTCTCTCTCTCTCTCTCTCTCTCTCTCTCTCTCTCTCCCCCCCCCACCAACCCCCCAAACGCCCTCATGCATCTTTTGGTGTATTAACTTGGAATCGGTGATCAATTATTGATATAAAACATTAGGTAAATGCCTTATTTAACGAGGTAAAACATTGGGTTGGATGTGTGTGTGTGTGTGTGTGTGTATATATATATATATATGAATGATTATTTAAGAACTCATAGTTTCCCGAGAACTAAATGTGGAACGTTAGATCAAAAAAACGGATGATCAAGATTACTTGTGGCATTTTTGTAAATAAAAAGAAACTTATAGGGGCAGGGGTATCTTAACTTAGAAAGGACAAGGGTATTATGGGAAATAAAAATATATGTTTTATCCCGATGAAAATGGCCCTAAATATATCGGCTTCTATCGTCTTCTTTGTGTCTGTGTATCATATCGGCATACCAACAGCTTCATCTCCTCCGATCGCCACCATTGCCATTCCAAACCCTCGTCTCCGACCTTACATCCATAATAACCTAATCATTCACGAGAATGATGCAGTTACCCCAGCCGCCACCAACGATACTCGAACAGTTCAGGAAGAAATCGCAAACTCGATTATTGTGGATACGATTCAGTTCAAACCACAAATTCCTCAAAGTCGGAAATCACAAATTTCTCAAAGTCGGAACTCAACTGAAATTGAAGGTACCATTCTATCTAACTTTGGATAATCTATCAGGAAGGACAAACATGCGTAAATAATCAAAACTGTGATGCAGGGTTACATTGTGAGGCCTGCGTCGTCGACGGAAATGTTCGTCCTCGTTGTACTCGCGTTCAGCCTCTTAGTACTTTTTCTAAGGTATTTTAGTATGTTAATGTTCTGCATATGAAAATCATTGTCAATGTGTGGTTGTTTGATGTGATTAAGTGTGATTACAGGCAAAATGATTGCCATTCAACCGATACTTGTGGTTAACTACGCATAATTCGTTTGATAGATTGGGGAAACGTCAGTTACAGGCTGTTGTTCTGGCTCCGACGAATCAGTAGGATTATGTTAGTTCTCAACTCGATGTAAGCCTCTTTCTCTCTCTCTCTCTCTCTCTCTCTCTCTTCTTTAACTCGATGAATCGTTGGTTCATGAGTGATAACAACAGTACTTTCATCTTCCACAATTAGTTATATAGTTCCTATAGTTTATTAGAAGTAAAGTGGACAAAACCAATGGTTTTCATCATCTCATATAGATGTTATTTGTATGCTTAATGTTTAGGTTACATATTATTGGTCTTACTTGTGGCCTTGCTGATCTTTCTGTTGGTATTACTATCAGAATTATTGGTGATGTTGGTGTTAGGTAATCTTCTTGAGCTTTATATGTCTAGATCAGTTTATGACTGTTTCATTGTGATTGTGTTCCTTTATATCTTAGGATTTATTACCAATAGAGGATGAATGGATTGGTTATATACATTTGACCATTTTAGCTTTGATTGTTTTGAATAAATATCTTCATGAGAATTATCAAAACGCATTGACATACAAACTGGTAATTGTCCTAATGCTTTATAATCAGTTTCATTTTTAATGACACTAAAAAAATTCATGCCATATTTCTTTATTTTCTAGTTGTCAGTTGTGGAGGACAATCAAAATAGCATATGATATGATTAAGTTGCAAATTTGGGTTGCTTTCTAGATGGTCAATAATGTACTTTATTTTCTCAACTTACTTTAATCATACTTAAAATGAAAAACATAACAAAAACATGTGAAATGAGCACATGTTATGATGTTAATCATGATTAATGACCTTATATATAGATTATTCAAATGACTACCCTTGTATTTGTATTCTAATAAAAATAACATATGATAATTTGATCTAGAATTAATCACATGTAATTCATATATGAATTACATGTGATTCACATCTAAAGCACGTGTAATTCACATATGAATTACATGTGGTTCACATGTAATTCACATATATATTCCATATAAATCACATATGAATTACATGTGATTCACATATAATTCGCATATGGATTATATGTGACATATAAATCACATATGAATTACATGTGATTCCCACGTAAATCACATGTAATTCATATATGAATTACATGTGATTCACATGTAAATCACATCTAATTCATATATGAATTACATGTAATTCACATGTAAATCATCTGTATTTTTGTGAGTATTTTTGCATCAATCAAATTCTTTTTAATTTCCTTGTAGGTTTGGAAGAAATTTTGGTGAATATTGAAGATGTGAAAAAAGATAATTTGAAGAAAATATGGAAATATCGACACGATGGCATGAAAACGCTTTGGAAATTTGTAGGATTCTTTTTGTTGTTTATATTTTATTTTGCATCGAATAAAATACTTATTGTATTGTGTTTATAAATTAATAAATAAATGAGTTTTCTTATGATTTCCTTAAAAATATTATAGTATATGAAATATGCATATATGATATTGTAAAAATATGCATAAATGTACCTAAAATGTTGATTTTTTTTGTTGTTAAAAAATTGTAGTATTTTTTAAATATTTCATTTTTTTTTAATTATTGATTTTTAAATGATTTTAAAAAAATTACAGTTTTTTAAAAAAGTATTTTTTTTTTTCAATTGTTTTTTTTTTCAAAAATTTATGTTTTCTATAAAACAAAATTAAAAATCTGCACTTTTAAAAAAAATGGAAAATACTATTTTTAAAAAAATCCGAAAATTTGATTTATTATATATTTTTTTAGTTATTTCTATTAATATTTACAAAAACATAAAAAATTAAACATTAAATAAGATTGATAAGATTACGATCATGTCCTTAATGAATTAGTTTTGATCTAATGCTCCACTTTTAGTTCTTGAATTCTCAGGAAACTATGAGTTCTCAACCAATCCCATATATATATATATATATATATATATATATATATATATATATATATATATATATATATATATATATATATATATATATATATATATATATATACTTTGTTATTTTGAAGAGTAAAATAGAAGGAAATTTAAAATATAAATTCGTTAAAAAACTAATTTGTAGACTTATAAAAATCTAGCTTATAATCTACATGAATGAGCTTTCCTTTAATCCTTTATTACTTACATTTCATGTGACGTTATCTTTTTCTTTGCTCATTTGATCTATAATAGCTATGGTAATCATAAATTATCAAAAATTCAAATGAGATATTATACAAATATTATGTACTAATTCAAACTGCAGGACATTTAAATATTATGCTATACACCTGGGTTAGTACAATTTATTATGTTAACTATAGTTATTCAATATAATATAATTTTGATATCGAAAGTCCAAACTCCAAACGGCTCTTATTAAATGGAACCGGTTTATCTATACCGAACCAACAGTTTGAGATAAGTTTTATTTTTTTAAAACTGAAACCGGTTCTTTTCTAAAAAAAAAGGAACAGAGCCGGATTTTAAACCGAAGAAACCGATTTTTTTTTTTTTTAATCAAAATTTAACTTCCAAAAAACCCGGAAAACCAAGCCCATTATATCCCAAAATTTTCTAACACTATGATTTTTTTATTAACTTGAACCGGTTTATAATAGGTGACTCGCTGCTTGATCCAGTTACAAGAGCCCAATCGCACGATAGGCCCATAAATTTGCAACTTAGGAGGACAGAGGTGGCTTTTGCCGGTTGAAATCAGGAGGAGTGGGGGCTGTCGGGGTGAGCAAATAGAAATGGCGAAATCTTGTAAAGGTTTGGCTATGGAATTGGTCAAGTGTCTCAGTGAATCTGATTGTGTCAAGGTACTTGTTACTTTCTCTTCATATAGGCATGTGTATTTGGGTCGATCATGTTCGATTTGATGTCTAGGCTGATAGGCTCCGTGATTGATTCGAACATGTACTTTAACTGGATTGAAGATCCTAATAAATGCAGTTACTGTTCTAAATTCAGATGAATAACACTATGTGTTACATGAATTTTTCATTTGGATGTCTGAATTCCTTGATTGATTCAAACACGCTCTCAGTAAATTAGAAACCCTAGCAAATTCGAAACTATGGCAGATTATAACGAATGATCATGTTCTCTTTGATGTCTAAACTATGTGATTGATTTGAAATTGTACTCCACTAGATTGGAGATAGATAATCGACCTTTTAGATTCTAAGCTGTGTATGTAATGAGACAGTTGTTTTGCAGGTAGAGAATCGACCTTTTAGAGAATGTGCTAAAGAGAAGAGCCCCGTCATTTCTAGTGAATGTGTTGGACTCAGAGAAACATATTTCAACTGCAAGAGAGGCCAGGTATGTCATATAATCATCCTCCTGTGATTTATAAATAGGTTCTTTCTTTGAATCAGATTTGATCCCAAAATAAATTTAATTGCATTGATACATATCCCATTTTTTCAAATCAAACAAAGATCAAACTTATGTTTCTTGTGGCAATGATGAATATAATATGTCACAGAGCCACATTAACATGCTTATAGCCAGGGATGGATCTAGTATATAAACAGGATAAGTAGGTGCAAACCTTGAAAATCAATGATAGTGAACTACTGAAAAAATTTATGGTAGTGCATACACTTGTAAGAAATCTTGGATCTGCTATTGAACTTTTGTGTGTGTGTGTGTCTGTGTGTGTGTGGCAGGTTGATATGAGAGCTAGGATTCGTGGAAATAAAGGTTACTAATCTCTGCATGTTCTTGGAAATTTTTTTGCAACATTAAAGTTAGTTGGTAGTCTTTTGTATTTAATTACGAAGCATGAAATTTTAGTTGTTAAAAATACAAAAACAACATTGTATTTTGTAAAACAAATGTTGAAGAATAAGGCATTTTAGCTGCTTGAGCACTGAATTATGTACACTGGGTCTGGGGCCAAAAGAAGGCATATTGAGGAGTGTAATGTAAGGATGCTGTGGTGTGATTTCTGATGAAAAATCTGAAGGAATTGTAATGTGGGATTCCATTTTGGGGATTTAAGTTTGTTATTGCATAATGATGATTATTTTATTTTGTTAGTTCGCATACATACTTAGACTAGTGGATGCGGGCAACTAGTTAAGGGGTGTTATCACATTCAAAAATTATCACCTCACATGTCATATCATTGTAGTGTTATAACACCAAATGGAAGAAATGAGCAACTAGTTATAACATCTTTAACTTTCCATGTTATCATTTTTTTTTCCGTTTTTTCAATTTAATTTATTTTTGATTGTTTTTTTTCATAATATTTTTTTAATCACATTGGATTAATAAAAAAAAAATGAAACATGCAATTTAATTAACTCCTAGATTAACCATAACATTAAAAAAAAAAAAAAAAACATTACACACCGAAGAAAACAAAAGGTTGAAGGCAAAAAAAAAAAAAAAAAAAAAAAAAAGAACATCCTAAAAAACTAAAACCTATCAACTAGTTACCCAAATATTGTCTTTTGATTTTCTCATTCATCTTCCGGAGCAGTAGCGTTTTAAATCCTTCGTGATCTGATCTTTCTCGGCTTGCTTACAAAGAAACTCCAAATGATCATGTTGCACATCAACCTTTTGTTGGGCAATGAAATTGTGTCTGTCGAACTTTGCTTTCATACCGCCAACTCTTGTGCCATTCTATCAATTTCGTCTGCGTGACGTTGAGCACATTTCGTTTTGTTGCGTCCGACCAGTCAACGGGGTCTCTTTGATGCCGTCTGCGTTGATGTCAACGTTCGTTCGTGTATTGGAAACGTCAAACGAACTAGAATTACAGGACAACTTTGATTGTGCATCCCCCAATGTTAGCGTCTTACTCTATTTTGGATCTAGCCTAAGAATCTCCCATATTTTTTTAAACTCACAAGCGTGCCCCATTTCCACTTGATATTGTTCTTGCGTGGCTTTGTACACATCAAAATCATTCACACCAGTTTGC